AGCCTCATGATACTATTAGTTTACTACTTATTAGAAAATGTATTTCCTGTTCAAAAGCAGAGATTGATTGGGACCCCACTATGAACAATGAACTGAGACACATGCAAAATGATAGACAGGATTACTATTGAGAAGATAGTTGCCACTTAGGTGGAGTGGTGCAAGATGCTTTTGAACTATGGTGTTGGAGAAGACTCTTGAGAGTCCCTTGGACTGCAAGGAGATCCAACCAGTCCATCCTAAAGGAGATCAGTCCTGGGTGTTCATTGGAAGGACTGATGCTGAAGCTGAAACTCCAATACTTTGGCCACCTCATGCGAAGAGTCAACTCATTGGAAAAGACCCTGATGCTGGGAGGGTTTGGGGGCAGGAGGAGTACGGGACGACAGAGGATGAGATGGCTGGATGGCATCACCAACTCGGTGGGCATGAGTTTGAGTAAACTCCGGGAGTTGGTGATGGACAGGGAGGCCTGGCATGCTGCGATTCATGGGGTCGCAAAGAGTTGGACATGACTGAGCGACTGAACTGAACTGAACTAATAATTAAATACTGAAAGAATGGTATAAGTAAGAACTTCGAGGTTCATGGAAAAAGAGAGGAGAGAAGGGAGAGAAAGCACCAGAGACTGGAACTGTATAAACAAATACTTCAGTATAAGGAAGGACTTGAACTAGGCTTGTTGTAAAGTTGTTGAGGTCAGAAGCTATGCATATTTCCTTTCTTTGATACCATCACAGTGCATGCATCTGAAAAATAGTAGTTGCTCAATTTGTTGCTTTAATTTGAATAGTCATGATGTTTGGGATGTGTTAGAGAGGGAAAGACTGAAGCCCAAAAGATGTTAAGAAACCACTGCAACAATTCGGGCACTCAGTAGTGAGTGCTTAAGGGAGCAGCTTCACTGGAAATGGAAATGGCAGGTGAAGCAGAAAGACATTTATTGAAGTGTATGACTAAGTACATATGGGCTAAGAAGGAATAGAATGTTCTGAGGTTTTAAGTTTGACTTTATAGGAAAATGAGAAGATATTGACTTATTTTCTTCTTTTGTAACAGCCTTATCTGGGCACCATGGACTTCTAGGATTGTAGAGTAGGATTCAGAGTCCTGAGGCTGTTGAAATTATTAGCAAGTTTATGAGTATTAGGGAGAGTCTTCTTAGTTGTCATTAAGTTTTTGACAGTCTGGGTCTTTGAATTTGTTAAATACTACACTTTTATTCAAAAGTATAGTGATAAATAGGATTCCCGGGTGTCTCAGACTATGAAGAATCTGCCTGTAATGACAGTCCATGGGGTTAAAAAGAGTCAGACACGACTGAGGAGCTAACACTGTCAGTTTACGTTCACTTTCATAGTGATGACTAAGCAAGAGCCACAGTTCTTCAAAGAAGTAACCCTCTTTAAAAATATCGACTGATGTGACATCTCACAGTGTCTTTTATCAACAGTTGAAACAAGATTATGGAAAATAGAACATAATATTGAAGACCAAGAGCTTTGTCATCTCCTTACTGAAAAACTTTGTCTTGCCTAAGATTTTTCTCTTACTGTTAGATGAGAGACTGACAATACCTGCCTCTTAGGGTTGTTGCGAGGAGTATTATGAGAAAATATTTGTTACATTTTTAGTACTCAGTATATCTTATTTTGTTATTATTTATTATTATTATTCTCATTCAGCTTTAAAATTTCTTGACAATCTATTATAGTGGATTGCTTTCCCTGTTTGCCATATCTCACTTAATCACCACCATAAATTTGATAGAAATCTATTTTTAATATTTAGGTTATGGTTGAGATGTAGGCAGGTAAATGCCTTGCCAGAGGTCACAGAGCTAGCAAATGGCAGAGTCAAAATTACAGGGGTCAGGAAACGCTTGTGTAAAGTGGGGCAAACATGAAGGAGGGCACAGAACAGAGCAAATGGTCAGTGACATGATGAGCAGCTGGGTGAGCTACGTGAGGCCGCAGTGCCACAGAGACTCAGAAAGAGTCACACATCCCATAGAACATCATGTTCTTACTGGGCTAGTAATCCATCCCAGGCTGGCCGACTTCAGATCTCTGAGTGCATGAACGTGAACCGTGTGTGCATGAGATAACATGACCTCAGGGAAAATGAGGTTGGGTGTGAGAGGAGATAAGTTATGACCAGCTGCAGTGGTGATTACAAAGGTTCGTTTACTTTAACCTATCAGACACTGATACACAGCAGAATCCAAGTTTACATTGAACATTGTCCAGAGAGGTTTCCTATGTGACAGAAAGCATTTTTAATTCAGCTCTCAAGGCCGATAGAATATTTTACACACACACACACAGGAAAGTGACCAGAAACTACTATGCCCTCACATAATAGTCCAAGTTGACCACTTGGATTGTATTATTTTTTATCTTTGTGGGCAACCCTAAGACTTGGTTTGGTAAGACTTGGTTTGGTACACACACACACACACAGGAAAGTGACCAGAAACTACTATGCCCTCACATAATAGTCCAAGTTGACCACTTGGATTGTATTATTTTTTATCTTTGTGGGCAGCCCTAAGACTTGGTTTGGTTGTTTCTAAGACTGAAACTTTCAGTGATGGCTCAAGGCCACTGTATCAAAACTGGGATTCCAAACAATTAAGGATAGGGACCTTGAAGGAAAACTGCCAAAGACATTTTGTCGTTAAACAGGAGTCCTGGGTATAAGGGAGGAGAGACAATAGAAATCCACAGTAGGGCCTGCAGACCAGGAGTGAATCCTTCTTCAAACAGAAATTCTAAATTGTTATCCTTTGTTTTCTGCAGCTTGTATGAGACCACTTTAAGCACAATGGTTGCCTATGACAGTAAATTGCTGCCTTTTAAGAAGGTGGATAATATTTACATATGCTAAAACATTCATTTCATGATTGCTTACTTGGTAATTGTCTATTGAGTCTTTTTGCGGCTCATTCTTTAAGCTTTAGCTGTATTCTTTTGACAATTTTAGAGGAGGATCCGGGAAAAGAAAGGAAATGAGCCACATCTAGAATAAATATTAAGATTCACAAAATTTGGAAGAGGTCCATAATTAACACTATACATATATGTATTGGGGCTTCCCAGGTGGCGCTAGCTGTATAGAACCTGCCTGCCAATGCAGGAGACATAAGAGATGTGGGTTTGATCCCTGGGTCGGGAAGATCCCCTGGAGAATGGCATGGCAACCCACTCCAATATTCTTGCCTGGAGAATCCCCTGGACAGAGAAGCCTGGTGGGTTACAGTCCATGGGGTCACAGAGTCAGACACAACTGAAGCGACAGAACGGTACAGCATATATATGAATTGATCGAGATTACGATTTTGAATTATATTTTGATTAGAAGGCAGTGGAGGTTAGCACATTAGCTTTAATTGGAATGGACCTGAGTTTGAACTCTAGCCCTGTCTATCTTGTCCTTGGAAATCAACCTCCTCAAAACCTACACTTTCTTATGTGTTAATGGAAATGATAATGCTCACTTCCCAGGGTTTTTGTGAAGATTAAAAACTATAATCTATATTAAGTACCTAACACATGGAAGTGCTACTTCACACCTGACTGTTCATGGCTCCAATAATTATGGCTAATTAGAAATTGGCTGTAGATTATATTTTATTAAATGGTTGAATGGGTTTCTATTGCTGTAGGTTTCATTGGACTATATTATGAGCAAGACTGTTACTTAAATGACTTTCTGGTATAATTAGGCCTTATTAGAGGTTGTAATAAGTCTTGCAGTATTCTTGTCATTATTCCCAAATCATTGGACTATTATACTAAAAATAGTCAAGTTACAGATGGACTAGAACATTTATCCTTCACCTTTTAGAAGCCCATATTCCATCCTATATAAAAAAGAGTGTGGTAATTAAAACAGAATAAAAGCACAACCCCAAAGCCTCAAAACCATCATGCTACATATTATCTTTCTTAGCAGGAAGTTAAAAAGAAGTTGAAAATGATTGGCATAAAACAAGTTATTTTCATTATCAGTAGGTTTTAACGTGCACATTGTGAGTTGTGCCACAATTATGCACAATTATGCTCTGGAATTATATAATTCCAGTTAGCTAGGATTCTGAATGAAATAACATCTTCCAAAAGTACATAATAATTTGCCAAGAAATAATTTAGGCCCAGTAAATTTTTGCTACAGCGTGTTCATTGTTTTGAAGAATTATAATTATTATAAGAAGCTTGTTCAGTATTTGGCAATTAAAAAATAATCTAATTAGACTGATTGTGCAAGCTAATTTCTAGCCCCAGATGTGGGCCTGTTAGCTAAGCAAGGTTCCTGTGCTTAAGCAATCATGTCTGCATCCACACCAGAAGGTACCAACCAGGGCAAAGTTCCAGCCAGGGAACAGACAGAGCTCCTGGGGCAGGAGCCGTTCTGGGATTTCTCTGAAGTCAGAAATAGACTTAGCTCCCTGTTGAAGGACTTTATACTCTTTTCTTTCATGAACAAAATTTCCAATCTGGTTGTAAAATGTAGATAGATGCTTTTAGCATCTACTAATGCCCCCTCTCTGTACCTCAGTAGCCAACAATCTTTTTAATGAACTGTTGGCTTCTGTTTCTGGCTCATCGTATCTTGGATGTCTGCCAGGAACCATCTTGGATGATGTGAAAAAAACTTGAGTGTGTACAGTTGCTGGAGGGACGTTTTACTGTTCTAGGGAAGAAGTCAAATAATTGAAAACTTAGAACTCTCACCCTGTTTTGTTGGGTAATTGTTACCTCAAAAAATAGAGTATTTTCTTCTCCCTTCCCAAGTAACCATTTATCTGGGAAGCAAGTTATTAGCAATCCAAAATTGCTCAGTGGAATAGGGGGGAAATGGTGTGAAAAATGAAGATAATGAAAACAAAATATTTCACAATAAAATATCTTCCAAGTCATCCATTAAAAAAAAAAAACCCTTTTGGTAGCCAATGTGTACAGTGTTTCACAAATTTTCCTCTTCATTTTTTTAAGCAGATTTAAAGTAGAACAAAAATTAGACTTCAAAGAAGCTTTGTATTCATTGAATATAACTGAGATATTTAGTGGTGGCTGTGACCTTTCTGGAATAACAGGTAATATGAAAAATTATTCTTATATTATCAAGTAAATATGTTCTCTTAGAAACTGTGTTAACTGACTGATCTTAAAACTGAAAGAGCATTTGGCCCCAGAAAATATGTACACGGGGAATAAATGTCATCATTGTGTCAAGCTGTCTGTAAACAAGCACTGTATTTTGCATTTAAGTAGTTTTACTTAATGAAAGTCAGACAGCATGTTAGAATGTTAGATAAGCCTTCTAACCACACTTACAATGAAACTATGTAGGAAAAGTATTATCTGGGGCTTTTATTCCAGCTCTGTTTGTATTTCCTTATCAGAATATTGGGAATTACAACTTTGAGGCTCTCATTTAAACAGAGCTAATAAAACTCCCAATTTGCAAATGTTAATTTGGTAATATTAGAGCCCATGAAATAGGCATCTGCAAGCTGTTGGATGATGAACACAGTCTAGAAATTGTAAGGTTGCAGCTTGTAGATTTAGCTTGAGACTGACAACACATCAGAGGAGATGGAGCTTTTATGCTAACTGGCACTTGGGAAATTGTGCATGGTTAAGATGCTCACTTTCACAATAAAGCCCAAGACACTCTTTATGTCTCATCCTGGCAGTACCTACTAGTTCAAAACTAACTAAAGAGAAAAAAAAATGGAGGAAGAGGGCCAAATTATCCCGCTATTTTAAATTCTTTTAAATTCAGTCTTCTGTTTTATAAAGAAAAAATAAAGTCCTAATGATACAAGCTTGTCTATCTGATGGGGTTGGATATCCTAACCTAGAATTATTATGTATTCCTTTATAAAATGTGGGCTTTGGAGAGGTATTCATTAACTTATTCACTTATCAATTATGTGGGTAAGTGAACATAATGAATGAGTTTTCCTGGTGGAGGAGGTGAGTGGGGTACACAGGTGACATAGATGTTCATTATCACCTTCACACATGATTTAGCTGCCTGTTCTCACACTGACAGATAGATCTGACTTCTTTGACAATTTCATCAGCATCAGGAATGAGGCAGTCAAAATTAAATACTGCAACAGGATTCTGTCTAAGTGTGCCCTGGAATGCAGCCACCTTACCAACTTGAAATAAACCAAGCCATTTTTTAAACACCTCTTCACCTTAAATGTCTTTCTGGCCTTCGGAAGCTCACTTGCTATATCTCAGGCATTTCAAACAGCCACTTGCTCTGCAAATTCCCAGCAATTTGTGACTTCTATAAAATTTCCTTTTACATCAATAAAATTCCCCCAAAATGCTTTATAAGAGAATTTGTACAAGAGAATAACCCTGAACAGAAAAGAATAAGTGTCCAACATTTTTTGCTCTGAGTTACCTATTTGAGTTGATTTAACGACTTTGGTTCTGTCTTATTGCCTGAAATAGAACAACCACAGCCAAGGCTGGCACTATTTCTAGTCTTTAGGAGAACAGTGAATTAATTCCCTGCTATTAGTACGTTTTGTGCAATAAGCGTTTGCTAAAGGCTATTGTGGCATCTCAGTGGTAAAGAATTCACCTGCCAAGCAGGACACGAAGTTTTGATCCCTGGGTGGGGAACATCCCCTGGCGAAGGAAATGGCAACCCACTCCAGTATTCTTGCCTGGGAAATCCATGGACAGAGTAGCCTGGCTGGGTACAGTCCGCGGGGTCGCAAAGAGTTGGACACAACTGAGTAACTAAAACAACACAAAGGTTACTGTGGGTCAGTCCAACGCTACTGCTGTGGGATATTTACACAAAACAGACACTATCTTTTACTCAGATTGTCCACATATTTTGAATGAAATGTTTTTAAAAGAGTTATTTTTGCAACTTTGAGATGAATGTTTGACTTCTGTCACCCTTAGTAAAATATTTAATCTTTCTGAACCTCAATTTTCTAATCTATTAAATAAACAATATATCCTAGTGGCAGAAATAATAAAAGGACACATGTAAATCACCTTGTTCAACATCTGTTATATAGTAGATGGGCTTCCCTTGTGGCTCAGATGGTAAAGAACCCACCTGCAATGCAGGAGACCTGGGTTTGATACCTGGGTAGGGAAAATCCCTTGGAGAAGGGAAAGGCTACCCACTCCAGTATTCTGGCCTGGAGAATTCCATGGACTGTATAGTCCATGGGGTCGCAAAGAGTTGAAAACGACTGAGTGACTTTCACTTTATAGTAGATAGTAAATGTTAAATGCGAAAAGAAAATTGAGCAAATGGCACATTAATATTTACTTGCACATCTTCGAGCGAAGCTACTGGAAGTTTCTTATCCTCTTAACTTGATGAAGACATACTTGGAATCTTCATAGAGAATTAAGGGAAGGAATGGTTACAAAGGTATAGAAACCAGTAAGTTTATGAAGTTCAGATCTCTTGTTCTAATCTAGCATCTTCCAGGTCCTGTTCTTTTTCCAAGACCGTGCCATCTCTGTAGAAGATGGAATACAGAAGGTCAAATTGCCAAAGGCTCACTTGGTTTGGTGTCAGTGGTAAACTGCACGCATGATTCTCCACTCCATCCCAACTTGCTATTTGGTCTTCATTCTTTGTATGGGCCCCTCAGTCATCTATTCTGTGCTCTTTATGCAAATCCTTATTCTAGGCAGTTGTGGGGAACAAAATGTGCTTAATTGCATGACCTTAAAAGACCACACTCCTGCATTTTAGTTAAACCACACTCATGATATGAATGCCCCTCTTTCTCCATCTGAATTCTTTCTGTCACTGGACATATTCTTATCCATTGATTTATTTATTTGGCAAGTATTTATTATAAGCCAGCTAGCTATCTGCCGGGCAATTTTCTAGAGTTGAATAAAATCCACAAATTCCCTCTCCTAATGAAGTTTACATCTGTTAGGGCAGATGGACGATTAACAAGTAATTAATTAATTAAATGATGAGGTGATAGATGGTATGAATTAACTAAAATAGAGTCATGGGATAAAGAAATTAGATCAGATAAGAGCAGAATTAGACACGGTGGAAAGAGAAGATTGCTTTGAGGAAGTGTCATTTTTATTCAGACCTAAGTAACAGGAGACCCAATCAGGGTAAGTTCTGGGAAAAGGGATTTTAAGCAGAGGGACAGATTAGACTAAAGCTTTGATGCTTGTACTTGTAGCTGGAGCTATTGGGTGAGGAAAGGAGGGTAGGAGATGGGGATCAGAGGTAATCAAGGGCCCAGACAAAGTCATCACAGAGAGTCTGGAGTTATTTTTAGGAAGCCATTTTTTATGCAAATCACCCTTTGATGACTTCTCTCTATCTTGCCTGAGGGGATTTACTTTTCTGTAAGCTGTCAGAGATGGTTCCCCTTGACTAAATTATTTCTTCATGAAAGCGTTAGTCACACTGCTGCTGCTGCTGCTAAGTCGCATCAGTCGTGTCCGACTCTTCGCGACCCCATGGACTGCAGCCCACCAGGCTCCTCCATCCATAGAATTTTCCAGGCAAGAGTACTGGAGTGGGTTGCCATTGCCTTCTCTGTTAGTCACACAGTCGTGTCCAACTCTTTGTGACCCCATGGTCTGTAGCCCGCCAGGCTCCTCTGTCCATGGGATTCTCCAGGCAAGAATACTGGAGTGGGTTGCCATGTCCTTCTCCAGGGGATCTTCCTAACCCAGGGATCGAACCACAGCCTCCTGAATTACAGAAGATTCTTTACTACCTCAACCAACCCCTATTTCTTCATAAGCTCTTCTAAATTCGGTTGTATTGATGGGGTCCACCTCATCACATCAGCTTTCTCTCTCAAGAGGGACAAAGCACCTTTATCTCCTTTCTCTTCAAGAGTCAAGGCTCACCTTGCTCTCCTCCACCCTCTTGCCATCACTGAACCCACCACCACCTTTTTGTTGTTTCTGCAAGGAACGTTGTCAGGTCTATCTGGTCTTGATGCAGCAGGGACAGCAGATGGCTTTTGAACTTACAGTTTCACTTCCCCCTTCTCAAGGAGATGCTCCACAGGTCACTATATCAGAAAGCCTTCACACATACATCAGTTTCACCGAGGGGATGAGTGGGGCCTTCTCTCTCAGCTTGTTCCCACAGCAGAACAAAATGTTGTTAAGACGCTTACACTGAGAAATTTGACAGGTTTTAAACCCTAGCTCTGAAGTGATTTTGGAACAGATGACACAAAAGCCCTTTAGACTTTTATCACCTCACCAGTCTTGAAGGAAAGTAAATTTTGTTCTAAACTCAGATCAAAACCCAATACAGAGTTTAAAAGGCAAGTTGGCTTTGAGGTTGAAAACATAGGGTGGGATTAATTCATATCTGTAAAGCCTTTTTCATCTTATCTGTAGACCATGATGAAGGGGAGCAAAACCCTTGGTCCATTGAAATATTTCACTTAGTGGGGTGCCTGACTTGAGGTTGATCCCCTTCTATCTTTACCTTTCATATCTGAGCTAAACTTGGTCTCTTCATGTTTTCTCTATATCATCTCTGCAAAAACTAAACCGAAACCACCTTTATCTCTAGAAAATTAACTAACTTGGAAAGCATTTTTCCCCCTTTTTCTTTGTTCATTTGAAAATGTAATGGGATCCAATAAATAATGGTTCTGAATTTTAACCCTTAAATGCACTTTCATATTTTTTAACAGATTCTTCTGAGGTGTATGTTTCCCGAGTCATGCAACAAGTTTTCTTTGAGATAAATGAAGAAGGCAGTGAAGTTGCAACATCAACTGGTAGGACAAACGATGTCACAGGAAGCCAGGAGGAAGGACTGGGGGAAATGAGCATGAGGATGCTGGCTCTTTGTGGCTCTCTGATCTCCTTTCCCCCTCCTGCTGTTCAGTACACTATAGGAAGGGCAAAGTGGCTATTTAAGCTATTTCTGCATCTGGGTGGCTGGAGTTTAAGGCAAAAAAAAAAAAAAAAAGAGGAGGGACTGATATCTACTGATATCTACTTATTTGTGAACTGGCTTACCTGCTCAATAGCAGTCAGGCTGAAACCTGAAATCATGATTGCTCAGGAATGTTCACTCTTAAGTAGTTGTATTCATTTCATTCTTCCTCTGCTCTTAGTTCCTGCTTTTCTAATTTGATTCTTGTTGTTATGTCTATGGCAGTGGCTCTCAAACCGAGCTGCATGTGAGAGTTAGCTGAAAAGCTTTTAAAACCTCTGTGCCCAGCCTAGAATATTGAATATTCAATTGAATATTGAGGACCCTAAAATATTGAATCAGTATCTCTGGTGATGAGATTTAGCCTTCAACATTTTCTTACATTTTCCTAAGTGATGACAATGTGCATCAAATGTTGAGAACTACTGCTCTCCAGTGACTTGCAGCTTATCCTTGGTACTGTGAGTCTAATGCACAGACCAGCAGCATCAGCATCATTCTGGAACTTATTAGAAGTGCAGAACCTCGGGCCCAACTCCAGACTGACTGATCCAGCATCTGCATTTTCCAAGGTCTCTTGGTGACTTGTGTGAACATTACAATTTAGGAGCCGCTCTTCTATATCACCTTGAACATGTGGCATTTTGAATAGTATCTATGCTGCATAAGAGTAATACTCAACAAATAATTGGAGAAAAAGCCTTAAATTCAATTAGAAGTGGGAAGACAACTTTAATGAATTCCTCATAAACATATTTTAATTTTTCAGACGATTTGGATTTTAGCCAGTATGTAAAAGATATACATCCTTTAAATAGCCATATTGATCAATTTATATCCAGATTATTAATTTCTTGATTAATTTATAACGCTATGTAATGCCAATGGATTTTGACATCTGGGTGGGGCACGCTGGGCTCCCTACTGTTTTGTCATCTCCTGGAAGGCTCCTGTACTGGCTGTTACAGTCCTTAGAGAAATCAAAGGTGGTGTTGAGATGAAGTTGCTAGTTCATGTAGACAAACTCTCCACTTGCTTTTACATAGAATTGGAAGAGTCCTTATAGAAGATTGATCTCTCTCATTATGTTGGTGATAAAACAGACCCATGTGTGGAGCAGTTTGCCTAAGGTTGCATCAGTGAGACAGTAGGGTTTGGACTGAAGCCGGATTTCCTGACTTCAGGTTCAGAGCCCTTCGGCCATCGCCCAAGGCCTCTTGTTTTTAGTGTGGAGTTCTCTAAACTCCAAGGGTCACCAAGGCATCGGCAGTGACCCTGATGTATCACCTTTTTAGTGTGAGTGTTTTGACTTTCAGGCATCCCCTCAGTGGATTTACAAAATACCTGGATAGGAACTGGGAGTTCAAACATTATAAAATAAATTATCTAATATAAATAAAAAGTGAGCAGAAAGTTACTGCTTAAAAGATGAAATTTTCAACTGCTTTCACTAAATTGAATCTAGTATCTGGCTTTCTTCTTCATTGAGCATAAAGTGTGAAGTTAGAATTATTCCATGAATAATCTAATATCTTTTCCTCTGCTCTTCAATGTTCAGATTTATTCCAAATTTCTCTGTATTTAGAAAATGGTTATTTTTCCACATGGTAACTCCTCAAATAAAAATGGCCTTTCCTGTCTACAAAAAATATTGTGAATATTATGGATATATTTTCTTTACTGATCTTTATATGTGAACATCTAAATAACTCTTGTCTCTATTTTATAGGCATAAACACACCTGTGATCATGAATCTGTCACGGAATCAATTTATAGCAAATCATCCATTTCTGTTTATTATGAAGAATAACCCAACAGGTACCTTTCTGAGAATTCCCTGGGGGAACTGTATAAGTTAAATAGACCTAGTCTATTGAATCTTTTGGAATCTTGCTGTTAATCGCAGTCTGTTCCAGCTGCAAATGACACTCTGAAATCATTTGTTCTTTCAATTTATTGAATTTATTTTAGTTTTTTCCAAAGTTTTTTAGTGACTGTTTGTTGAGTGATTATTTTGTACTAGGCATCGTGCTTTAAGAGATGTCAGTGACCTAAATAGATCAGTACTAGTAATAGCTGCCAAGATAGTTTGTATAGGTGCTGGTGATTTTAAATACCAATCTGTACAGTTAACACCATTCCAATAAGTCAAATATTTGAAGAATAAAGACATAGAAACTCATAGAGAAGTTGTGTAGTTTGCCTAAGGTCATACAACTGAAAAGTGGCTGAGTGAAAATACGACCTGTTTGTCTCAGAAGTCAACTTTCTTTCAGTGGGAGTGGAACTTGGAAGTTGCACAGTTGTGAAAGGTTTTCTAGGTAGATTCCAAGAATAAATGACTAGCTATAGGCTCTGAGTGGGAGGGAGGGGTCAAACATTATTCCAGTTCTCTAATTTGGGCAATTCTATAAGATAATGCAGTTAGGTACAAAAGGTGGGGGTGGTAGTCAGTTGGACTGGCACTACAGACATGGTGAACACATAAATGCAGATGGTCTGGATAGATGTTTTTGCATCTTATGAAATGAGAGAGGCCAGAAATGTGGATAGTGAGGAAGCTTTCTTTAACTATATATTTAGGACTCCTCAGGAGTCATAAGCCGATGACTGTACACCACTGGAAAAGAGATAATATCTTACTCATTTCTGTATCCAGCCCAGAATTTGGCCAAGTGCCCTGCACTTAATATCAGTATCTCTAGAGACTGAAGGTTTGGACTTGGGTCCAAAGACCAGTTTAATGAACTAATAGTTCTAAGACAAGTCACTATACGTTCTAAGCTATGTTTTTCCCACCCCCTATTTGAACATAATATTAGTACTTGTGTCATGCTGAGATGTGCTTAGCTGTGTTCGACTCTCTTCAATCCCGTGGACTGTAGCTAGCCAGGATCCTCTGTCCATGGGGACTGTCCAGGCTAGAATACTGGAGTGGGTTGCCATGTCCTTCTTCAGGGGATCTTCCCAACCCAGGGATCGAACCCAAGTCTCCTGCATTGCAGGTGGTTCTTTACTGTCTGCGCCACCAGGGGAGCCTGTATCTCATTGAGGTAAATCAAAGAATATATTAAGTCTGTGACACAGTGCCTGGCACATGATGTTCATTGTGGATACATCAATAAATATACATAAAGGAAGGAAGAAAAGTGGAAAAGTTTCTCTAAATAAATTGATTTACGTGGAGAAGAGACATAGTTAATTTCAGAAACTGAATCTGTTCGTTTAACTAGCAATATTGATATTATTGATCCCCTAAGGGATATATCAGTCTCTTTTGTTAGGTTGTGTGAAACTAATGCTGAATGACCATTCTGAAGGTTACATCTTGGAAACAATGGGATAGTTTCAGATTTGCTGAGGCTGTATTAACACAACTTCAGTTCTATAGGGGATGCGTCAGGGTTATGACATAGTCTGTGTATGTCATTTGATTTATACAACCTTAACCTTAGGATGTCTCTAATTTCTTACCATTAGCATGTAATTATTAAGTATGCAGAACAGAAAGAACTGAAGTTGCATTGGGCATCAATGCTCAAGGAAATATGGCATTTAGAATAATACTTGACTCTTTATTTTCCAAGTTGATGACTGAGAGGCTAAGGACATGTAATAGCTATCAGTTAAATTGTAGTGAAAATTCAAATTAATTCACTTATTTACTTATTTGTGATAATGCTGAAGTGTCAGACCCTTAATGGCGATTTCCACTGTTTTATGATCTTCATTGTAATGAGACTTTCTAAACTAAGGTTACTCCCCTAAAGTATTGTTTCAAATGAATGGCCACTCATTTATAGGAGGCTGTAAATTATTGCCATATATAATGCAGAATGGGCTATTATCTTAAGACAATACACGTTCAGTGATTTATTTATTTTTCCTTTTACAAATGAACTGAAGAAATTATTGGGATTAACAAAGCTGGTGATTTACCACACACAGCGAACTACCAAATGGCATAATGATTTATATAAAACACATTCATTTGACAATTCCTGAAGTATGAGAATGAATGATTTTAGGTTTAGTAAAACCAATTTTTGCCTAGATTTTAAATTTTCCTTTGGTAAAACAAACTTCTTATGCAAAATCCATACATTACTTGTATTTTCCTATCAGTATTTAACTTCCTATAATATATACGTTTCATTATACTCATCCAAATCTCTTACTGAGCCAAACTTCCAGGGAAATGAAGAATGATTCTTCTTCTTTAAGGTTGAGGGTATAGGACAGCATTAGAGACTTTCAGAAGAAGGATATGAAAGATGCTATATGAAATGTGCCATTTCCCAGAAAGTAGTGAATCATGGTTTTGAAACTAACAGTGCTCCATACATAACAATAACAACAAAATACTGTGTTTAGAATTTTTTCAGGTCCTACGTTGAAGGAAGAAGCAGACTACAGGGTATTCATTAAAAAATCTTTTCTCTAGGCTGTTAGCTTTGGTTATGCTATTGTATTTTTTACATTATGAACTAAAAAACTGCTTCTGACAGAGATGTTTTATAGCTATATTATTAAATATGAGGGACACCTCTTTAATAAGGGAGCATGAAAAGTGGAAACAACAATGAATCTGCTTCAACCTGCCTCTATATCCATTGAGACTATGTCAAGGAAGATTTCACTAATCTGTCCAGTTTAGTAGTGAGTAGATTGGCTATTGCATGTAGACTTAATTCAAAATGTGGTTCTCCTTGGTCAGAAAAGCAGATTGAAAAGACTAGGGCAAATGGCTTTTATGTAAGGTCCTATACTTCTTATAGTTTAAAATTTTAAACTATTGTCTTCAATTTATGAGGTTAGCCACTTTAAAAATTCTCCAAACAAGCATTTCTGGTAAGCATTTTAATGCCAGAGAATTACAAAGATACAAGAGTTATTGTTGAGTCCTCTTGTGACTAAACACAGTATATAGCCTGGGGAAGTTATTTATGTATCCATGTCTATCTGAAAAAAAGAGTATTTGTTTTCTAGTATTGTTGGAATTATTTTGAGATTTTTATGGCAAAGTATTATTAATTATAATCATAAAAAGAAGAAAAAATTCTGCTAGAGATTATGTCTATTTCTGTGTTAATTGGCTTTTTAAAGACTGTGTCTTTGGACTGAACAATAAAGAGTTCATGAAGAAGGGCTCTTCCTTTTTTACTTCATTTCTACCATTGTTATTTCAATACTTATCAGTACAATGTTCATTTGCTTTAAAATTATGCAAAATTTTATTTTCTAATTTTTGAAATGAACCTTTATTACATATGACTTTAAAGGATGTAACCCAAGGCAATACGACATTGAGCCATTCAAGCCATTTACCTTTCCCTAGTTGGCAAGAAAGGTGAATGGATTTTGACATGTCATTTATTTCTGTTTTGTCCTCTAGTTTTTAGTTCCTTTTCACTTGAAAAACACAGGATGGCTGGAAACAGGTGTTTACATTTATGCGGTATACTATATCACTTTGGTGAGGATGTGAAAGTATGAGAGATGTGAAAATATTGCCTTTAGCAGTAAGCTTTGATTCAAGCTGAAGGAGGAGAACTGAGAAACTGCACTTTTAACCCCAAGGGTTTACATTACATGCATAAAGAGATGACTGCTAATGCCTTAAATTTAAAACGTTTCCTATGCTCATCACCATTTTATTGCTCTATGTTTGCCTGACTGAGTCTCTATATTTAGAAGAACAACTCTCTGTCACTTTAATTTTTCTTTCCTCTATGAAAACCAGAACTAATGCATTCTCCATGACAAGCTGTTGAGGCTGTTATTATACTTCACAAATTATCAAAAAAAAATGATTAATAATGATATAGTCATCTATTTTAGAGAAGTGGGCTTTGTTATTAGATGTTGCCAGTTTACCTTATAAGTAAAAAGACTAAATGGCTTGTTAAAACATTAAGAAAAACTGATTATTATCATTTTTTTTCCTCCCAAAATTCCTAAAGATCTTTTTTTCTTTCCCTAGATTCAATTTTGCTTATGGGAAGGGTGACAAATCCTGACACCCATGCGATGAAGGGAAGAGATTTAGATTCACTGTGAACGGAAAGTGCAGCCTCGGAATAGAAGGTTATTCCTGGAAAAGAGTTGACTGGCAAAATATCATCAAATATTTTCTATATATCTTTTTCTATCTTAAACAGTGGCTGTATTAATCTGTATCCATGAATAAATGAAATTATGCATTAAATGTCTTTGTGCTTTCTGTTTTTTATAAAGTTTATATGAATCAAGAGCAGTGAATTTACATAAAATATTAATATATTAGAACAGTCCATCTAAGATATCTTAGATATAAAAGTCCTGTCTTAGATTATAAAAATCTCTACATTCTTACAAGACTGAACTATCTGACTCCCAAGTATAGCACCTTTATCCAGACCATGGAGAATTGAGTCACGAGAGAGAGTGCATGTGCTGGTACTCTCTGGGGTACCACTTGAGATACCAAGATCCGGTACCTATGATAGTAAATGAACTTTGAGTATTTAGTTTATCTTAACTTGGCATTCCATGTGTTATGTTTAATAGTTGCCTTGTTTCAATACATATCAATTTTTTTCTGATTTATGCTTTAAACCTGTAAAAGAAAGTAGAAGCAACAAGAACTTTTTAATAAAGTTTTCCTGTACATGAAATTGGCAGCTAAATTAGTGTAATTCAGGAGGCTGACTGTCCATGATTTTATATCACTGAGCTAATGGAAATGTTAGAGCCAAGATTGTAATCTACAAATATTAAATGCAACACACTGCCTCTGATGTCAGATGTAAATACCCCCAACAATACTACTTTCCAATGACTTTATATAACATTTCATAGTTTTTCTATTTTCATGTTAGTGATGTAAAGTGTCCTTTTTTTTGTGTGCTGGGAATTCTCTGCAGAGTTTAATAATAATGGCTTCCCATTGTTGAGCCCTGCTTTTGTGTCAGGCCCTGAAATCAACACTTTTTTGGACATTATGATAAATGCAGGAAAGGTCCATGAGCTACTATTACCCATATTCCTGATGAAGAAACTGAAGCTCAAACACATTATATAAGCAGTCAAGGACGTATAAGTATGGAGTCTTCACTGTATTTCAAAGTTTGAGCTCAAGACTATCTGTATCAGGAGACTGTGACCATAATCACTGAGTTATAATCCCTCCTAAGTAAGTCCTTTAAAGTAGTGCAGATTTTCCCCTGAAACTTCATGCTCTCTGGTCTCCAGTGTCCAGATGTCCACCTGTAGCAAAACCTAGAGCAAAACTCAAGACCACATGAAGACAGCTTTACAACTAATTGTGATGGCTTCAAACCTTAACATAATCAAAAGTAATGCTAGCTTTCCTAGACTGTAAATTGCATCTTACTTAGACATAATACAGTGAATGCTAATATATATGTTAGTGATATATCATAAGTTTGTTCTTCGTCATGGAACTGATTTAAAAATGTTTCCTTAATTTAGGAAGAAGAGCATAGCACACTATTAAAAGGACAGTAAGTTTTATTTTCAGGTGTTTTTCTTGGGTAAGGTAAATTTGTACATTCTCTTTCATGTGTTACATGTTAATCTGCTCTGGAGATTCATTCATCCCTTCCACAAATACTTATTGAGATTCTGTGTTCCAGGCACAGTTGTGTCCAACTCTTTGTGACCCCATGGACTGTACCCTGCCAGGCTCCTCTGTCTATGGGATTTCCCAGGAAAGAATACTGGAATGGGTTCCCATTTATCTCTCCAGAGGATCTTCCCGACCCAGGGATCAAACTTGTTTCCTGCATTGCAGGATACTTCTTTACCACTGAACCACCAGGGGTAAACCAGTAAACAAAACTGACAAGGTCTCTGACCTCCCCAAACTGACAATTTAACAGTGGTAGAAACATACTAAACCAGTGAAAAAATAAAGTAGAATAATAAAATAGCAAGGAATTTATAACATCAAGTAATGTAATAAAGTGACTGTCCAGGTTTCACTTTAAGTATATGTTTTCATAATATGTTCCTAATATATATGCTTCTCTTAAGTAAGATTTGTTAAATGTCTGCCTCGGTTTTCCCACTATGGAGTCCAACTTTTGCATTGTTGCTGTTTTCTCTGCCAATTTCATGCTCTACATCTGGTAGGCATTACTTGCCTTACAAAAGGAGGTGGTTTAAGCTCCTTATAAAAGAGAGGAGCCTTCTGGTGTGGATTCAGGCTTAAAATATCTCCTTTCCCCATTCTAGACACATAGTTGCCAGGGCATGTCTAAGATTAAAACCTTAGTCTTCACCTTCATTGCAGTTAACTCAGTGGTTATTATACTTTCATATTACAAAGGTTAGAAGTGTCTGGAATGTATTTATAATATATATGTGTGTATTTACTTATTTATGAAATTAAGTATGAAATAATTTTCTCTGCCAAGCTATATGAAACCATTAAGATTCACAACAGTATACAATATATGTGGGATTAAAAATATTTTCAAATTAATAACCCTCATAAAAGCTTAATATGTCATATATATAAGCTTAATATATCATATATATATGATGTAATTTCAAAGTTATTAAGAATTAGTTTCATTGATTTCACACAGTTATAATACATGGCATATTTTAAAGGAAGGAGTCTGTTACATTAGGAAATGGGGCCTGGGAGATCAAAGGTCTGAGACAATAAACAATTTCTGTTTCAGGGGTGAGGTTTATAGAAGTCTCTTGAATTGGTTAATAAAAACCTGGAAACCTTGAAAGATACAGAGAAAACTTTAGGGCAAGTTTTATTAGAAGCCAGTGTTTTACACCTCTGTAAAGAAGATATTTTCTGTCAGGAAGGCTTCAGACTTCCCCCTACATGGGGTAAGTCCTCCTGATCTATGGGTCCTGAGACTGACTCCATGCTTAGGGTGAGAAAGGGGGTATACTGAAAGTCTGCTCGTAAGAGCGCTGTTTCTCCCTGTGGTTTAGTCACTCAGTTGTGTCCGACTCTTGCGACCCCATGGTCTGTAGCCTGCCAGGCTCCTCTGTCCATGGTATTTTTCAGGCAAGAATACTGGAGTGGGTTGCCATTTCCTTCTCCAGGGGATTTTCCTGACCCAGGATTCAAACCCAGGTCTCCTGCGTTGCAGGCAGGTTCTTTATTGACTGAGCTTCTTTGTCCTGGCTCCATGTGTGATCTGAAATTTAAGAGATCAAAATTCTAGTTTCTTTCTCTTTTTTGGTGCCTCAAGTGACCACCTTGATGTTATGATATAAAGGACTCATTTTTCTTTTTAATCATTTTTCAATTAAAGATATATTTTTCACTAACATTATATTTTTTGCCTGTCATTTCAATTTTCTGGAACTTCAGTGTCCTCACTTGTACAGTGAAGGGTTGGACAAATTCTATTTAAGTTCTTTATTCCAAAGTCCTATGCTTCTAAATCTCAGGATTTCTCTACAAAGGTACGTTTGGAATAATGTCTTTTGAGTCATATTGTTTCTATAAACAGTGTTTTTGCATAAATGAAGCAGAAATCCAGGATGCACTAGAATCTTGGTTCATGATACTATCATTAACTATTTACACTTGTTTCTTTTAATAATTATATTGGAGTATAGTTGATTTACAACGTTATTAGGTTTAAGTGCACAGTAAAGTGATTCTGTTATTCATATATGGATATTCATTCTTTTTCAGATAGGTTGTAAGAATGATAAAATTGTTTTTTCATAGGTTCGAGAATTAATTTTTAAAAACAGAATGCACATAAAACAATCTTACTACTGTGGCAGAGACTCCTCCCTAGAGAAGGCTTTTGAGCATGGTTTTGAGATGTTGCTGGGCAGTGGGAGCCTAGCTGAGCACTTCATTTCACCTATCATTGCATTTATCGAAGTGGAGCCCTGTAATTAGTTCTCTTTAGTGGAATTTGAGTGGAGGTGAGTGTCACTTGTAAGTCTGTTTCTGACTGCTCTCTTCTGTTAAACCAGCCAGATGCAAATGCTCAAGGCCACCCTGGAAGTCCTATTTAGAAGATGACAGAGGTCTGCTAGCCTGGGTACCTCTGTCATCGTATGCTATAGATCCTCTTGCTTCTGGGTCCAAAGCCAATCAGGAATACCAGCTTGGGACTCATGTAAGCAAGAGTTCCATTTTCACTGGAGTTAGGTTGTTAGTGACAATGGTGAGGGTTGATTTGGTACTTTTAACGTGGTGATTCTATAAAGTAGAGAAAACATGTGGTGTAACTTGAAATTGGATGCAAAAACAACAAGAACACAGACAGCAGGCTGAAAGCAGCAGAGTTTGTTAAGCTGTGGAACTATTTGGTAAACTGCTGCTTGTGATCATCTGGAAAGTAGATCGTGTGTGTACAGACCCAGTATCTAGCCAGAGATGACATTTCACATCTCTCTTGAACTTGGTGGAGTACTGGGTCAGGAAGATCCCCTGGAGAAGGAAATGGCAAAATTCCAGGATTCTTGATGGGCTACAGTCTATGGAGTTGCAAAGAGTTGCACACGACTGAGAACTAAGTGTACTCACACACACACCACAAACAGAATATGAGCAGAAATGTTACCTGTTCCCTCTGGCCACAGTGATTAGGGAGTAAATTTGCCTACTTTTCTTTTTCTTTTGTCCACTCTATTTGGGGTATATCAACACTTAGGATGACAATGAAAGCCTTAGAAGACATCTGGGAGATGGCTTATCTCTATCAGCCTGGGTCCCTGAATTATTGCATAGATCACAACTACTCTATTCTCTGTTATACCATCCTTGACCAGAGATTCCTGCACTGTACTAGGGGCAAGAAATATACCATATGATGCTAAACCATGTTAAGTAGGTAGATAGAGCTCACCAAAATAATATAATGATGTTTTCAGTACATACGTTCCATGTATTAACTTGTAGTATATATTTTCTCATCTTGGCGCTTGACAGTTGGTAAGACAATATTCTGGAATTCTATTTCATTTTGCCTGATTCATGAAAGAAACTCAGGAATTATCCAGTGCATTTTCCCTAGCAAATTCCTCATCTCTGTGATAAAAATGCATCTTTACCAAAA